GTCAGTGTTCTTATCCTCCCAGATGAATCCGGTACCAGTTTATCGTCCACGAGAGTAGTAGGCTTGGTGCCTAAGCGGAGTCAAGCGGGATTTGAACCCAAGGACCGCGCTAGTGGTAAGCGTGCCACTTGCTACCACACCACCTCGTAGGAAGGATCAGATGATGTGAAAGAGAAGTATATGGGTAAAAGGGTTTGGGGAGATCAAATGGTGACAGTCGTGTTCTGAAAAATTTGAGTGCTGACCTGAGTCAACCGTCAATCCTGTTTTCTATTGGCAGAGCGGAGTTGCACGGATTTCGGCAGGAATACTTGGAAGAACAATTACCTCTATTACAGGAATCGCAATGTTAATATTCGCTTTACTGGCCTCTGCCTATTTGGCTATTTGCCAACAACGGATGTATGAGACTTATGGAAAGCATTCCGATGAAGCCATGTTTGTCATCGTGAGTCCATTTATACACACTTACAGTCTTACTCGCTGTAGATGATGGGCTGGGGGACGGGTTTTGGTGCGCCGCCAGCCTGCCCTCTGCCAATTATTGAAATGGGTAAGGGAACAACTAGTGCAGAACGACTGATCCGGACGATATGGTCCAGTCTTGTCGCCTGCCGAAAGAGAAAAGAAACGGCTGGCATCGCCAGACCTATTCTACTACCGCGCCCTCATCGTCCGCAAGGAACAGTACTTCACGATGTTAGCATGTAGCGACAGTTTATTCTTTCTGAGTGGTTGGAAGCAGGGCTCATGATGGCGTTGTGGAAAATTTTGCAAAGTGCAACTCCCCTCCTACTTATTTTTCTTGTTGGGTGCGAGCCACAACCACAAGCTACCTACTGTTTCATCGAATTCTTACTACATTCTTCATACTGCTAGAACTTTGTCGCCCGGCGCGGGGCGCACAGAAAGTACACGCGTTCTGGGAAAAATCGGCAGCCGAAAGGCTTTTCTCAGAGAACTCCGTTATTGTGATTCCCACAACCGGGATTTGCGGTACTGGCTACATACCCTAATGGCACCGTAGCGGTCATAATCAACGAATTGTTGCCTCTGCGGTCAAACCGGGTTTGAAACGGTGGGTTGAAGCTCCGCCCCCCCCCTCCCACAATGCCACCCACCACCGACGCTTTGTTTTCGTTGCTTCCATGGAATTTTGTTATTGAGGTGAATAGGTAAGGCCTCTGATAGGGTGCGTTCAGAGTTTGCGTCAGCGTTTGAGCGTGCCCTAGCACATTCTGGCCTGAGCTCACAACAGTATATTGCTGTCTATACTTTCCTAGTCGCTCAACTTTCCTAGCCGCTCAGAAGTCTTGAAACGCTGACGCAAAGTATGAACGCACTCCTAGGAACATGGTCTCCTACCCAAGTGAGCAGCTGCAGTCGGGAAACCGCCCGTAGAGGCTGGGGAGACGGGCAAGAGAATCGCTAACTGCCGCTTCGTCGCGCGCGGCAATGGGCGCGACGTTTCCTTGATTTGCACTACCCTTTCGATTGGAGCATCGGATTTCATGTAGACAAGGACATGGTGACACTTATGTCTATTTTTGGTCACACATTGTCTTTTCTCGACTAATACCGCCTGAAATCGGACGCGACGTTGCACGCGACGCTCACTGGCGCGGCGAATTACAATACGATTCTCTTGCCACATATCCAGAGGCTAGAGAGGCTGCTCTGCAAAACCCAGTTGCATTGCGACATCACGGGTGAGGCTAGAGAGGCTGCTCTGCTAAAGAAAACCCAATAGGGACATCACTGATATGAACGGGTAGTTCTAGAAGTGGGGAACATTACGTGGATAAGTAAATGTCGGTGTCAGTCAGACTCACTGACCAAGGAGGATCTCAGTACAATCCTTCAACCTCTTTCACAGCTAAACGCTACGACCACCAACCTATCCTCTTACAAAAGATTACAAAAATTCTGCTGGGGGGATCTCCGGCCACATTTATCAGAGATAGTTCTTTTTTGCGTTCCGCTGGCCGACTGGGGGATCTCCACCGACGCCATATACTACCCTGCCTCATACGCTCCTCCTCCCCCCCCCCCCTTGATGGAATCACCCGACGAGAATGTGCACTCTCCAGAACGCTGTTTTGCGCTGATATACCTAGCACAGGTGCGCATTCAAGGGTGTCAGCTTTTATGAGGTAACGTGTCGAGATGGTACTGGCAATGGTGCAGCTGAGGTTTTCCAGTCATCAACGTGTAGTATGAGCTCCTAATTCTTAGCAAATACCTGTACCGTGCCGTAGCGTACCTGGGCTACATCTGCCCCCATCATTTCCTGTTCCGCATATTCATTCCCAAGTCAACCATTGCAGCGTTGTGCTCAATTATCGATTCGTATTCCATTTTTTTGAAAATTATTCGGAATTGGTTTACCTTTTTCAGCACGCAATATCGTTGCCGCTATTCTCATTGATGGGAGCAGATATTATGGCTGCTGCGATCAAGTTCAATAAGGTAGTTTAGTTTCAATTAAAAATTATGCCGAGGCCATGAATTACTTCGACCATCGACTTCTTTCTAGAGCGCTCCATTTGAAGTCGCTGGCGTCACGATTCCTGTGCCTTCACTATGGATGAATCTCTTCTTCAGCTGCGTTTTACAGTATGTTGTAGTAGAAAATCACAAAGGATAGTAGGTTGCGTGGGCAGTGAACAACTTGTTGGGGCACAGTTTGCCGACGGGGAGGGGGGCATTTTGCACTTTCGTTGTTCACAAGTCTCACTCTGGTGAAACCTGTTGAACCTCTGGAACTGGAGCAAGCTTGTCAAGCCACCATGATGAAACCTCTCAATTCGAGAAGAGGCTGTCTAGACAGGTCGACACGCCGTTGGGAAATCGTTGATGTGCAAAATGCCGCGGCCCGCCCCCCCCCGCCCTTGTCGCCCTTGTTAGGTTGCAGTACGCTTTCTACTTCAACTTGCCGTATTTGAATACTAATTGTATACGTAGCCTGTAGATGTATGTGACAAGACAATCGTGATTCGCCGCTCTGGCGGGCATCGCGTGCGACGTCGCGCGCGAATCACGATGCTTCTGGTTCGTAGATGGCGACAGTAGACTATGTATGGCCAGAAATAGCCCTGAATGTCGAGGATGTCGCACTTTACATGGAATCCATTGCTCTAATCGAGAGACTAATGCAACTCAAAGAAACCCATGCAGATCGCCGCGCGCGACAGGGAACGACAAATTACGATTGTCTTGAGCCTCACCAAGTTCCAGGGTCCACCGATGTATATATCTGGGTTTGTATTATTTGTAGTGAATCTGTGACCGAGGGACACTCTAGAAAGGATTGGAAACCTTGCAGGGTAGGATAAAATTTGAATCGGATTATACCCGCAATTTACTGTTTGGGATTGACTCCACCCACAGCTCTCCCTCCTCTACTAGAATCTAGGCAGCTGGAGACGGAGGTGGTATAGTGGCAAGTAGCTCGATTACCACGTGCAGGGTCAAATCCCAGTTCCAGGACCAACCAAGCCTCCTACACTCCAGTTGAATTGCTACTCCATCCGTCTGGGAAGATGAATACACCGACTACATCGGTGCGCTTCGGAAATAATTGTGTAGAGCATTCGTATTCAACAACCACTACGATTTTGAGTGAAAATAGAATGGTGTCGCATCCCAAAAAAGGACTGGTTAAGGTCGAAAGCTCTCATTATAGTGATGTTTTTCCAAAGAGTGTACATGGTCATGCTTAGGATGCCGAAGGCTTTCCATTCAGGTACTATTGCATCAGATTCGTTTATCGGTTGAACGCCGAGGTTGAAGCGCTTACGGTAACTCTCGTGGTCACTCTGAGGAAGTTCTTATCGCTGGTAGTGTCGATTTGGTGGTTCCAGAACCCATTCACATGTTTGTTTTATTTCTTTTAGCCCTGTTTTCCTTTGTGTTATTTCGAT